GCCCCTCCCCTGTAACGTCGTGCCCGTCATTTCTCCTCTGTCTGGGCCGCCACCCGGGGACTCCGGGGCCAAGAGCTTTCGCGGCCTTGACCTTGCCGGCACGCTGCAGCCCCGTGCCACAGGGGGAGGTCCAGATGGGGAGACAGAGCCCCCCGGATCCCCGCTAGGCAGAGGCGGGGCTCTGACCTTCTGCTCCTGCCCTGGGAGCCATGGCGTGTGTGTCCTGCCCTGAATCCCGGCCATTGCCCTGCACGGGCTGCACGGAGTCACAAGGGAGGGCCCGGGGCTCAGGCGGGCCCAGCCACTCCCGAGTCCCACGGGAGGCAGGTGTGGGGTTGAGCTGGGGCCCCTGGGGCCTGACAACCCCTTCGCCCCTAGACTCTCCTGGGAGAAGGTGGGGGGCCTCTCTGAGCTCTCAGGCCGGAGGCAGGGGGGGCCTGGAGGCAGGCGAGGGGAGACCATTCGAGGAGGCCAGGGACCCTGGCAAAGGGAGAGGTGCCCGCTCCCACCCTGGCCCCAGGATCCCGAAGGGAATACGGAGACCCAGAGGGCCGGGAGGGGCTGAAGGGGCCGGGGAGGGAGGGCGGCCGGGAGCGGGGCCGAGGCCGGGACTCTGCAGCCAGAGTGGGCTGTGCCCAGCGCCGCAGACCCATCCTGAGGCCTTCTCTGGGTGTGGCCGTGGCACGAGCACATGGACGTTTCTGGAACAAGCTGCCGCTTGACAAATGTGTCTGAGGGCTGCTCCTGGGGGCCTCTGGGCAGAGGAGTGGGAGGAAGGCTTTGTACCCCAAGACACCACCGGTGTGTGGCTTTGGGCAACGCGTGCACGTCCGTAGCCTCAGTTTCCTGATCTGTGAAGGGGGAAGAGTGTCCTTCCCGGGATTTTGTGACGGGAGAGTGGACCCAGTGTCAGCATTGGGCCTTGCGGGGGCTGAGCCCGGCTCCCGGGGATGTCTGTGCCCAGGGGCTTGTGGTCACAGTCACACACACACACACACACACACACACACACACATAAACACACACATGCTCACATACACACTCGCACACATACGCACACTCATGCACACACACACTCTCATATACACACATGCACAGTCACACTCCCTCTCGCACACTCTCACATGCACACTCACACACTTTTATATACACACGCTCACATGCACACACACACACTCATACACCCACACACGCACACTCTGACACACACACACTCACATAAACACACACGCTCACATACGCACACTCATGCACACATACACACTCTCATACACACACATACACACACTCCCTCTCGCACACTCACATGCACACTCACACACACTTTTATATACACACGTTCCCGTGCACACTCACACACACTCATACACCCACACACTCACACTCTGACACACACTCACGCACACGCTCACACACACACACACGGACTCACAATCACACACACAATCTCGTACGCCACTGACCAGATGCTGGGCAGGGCATTTCCTCATCCAGACACCCGTGACGGCCGGGAGCGGGGGGCGGGGTGTGAACGAGGTGTCGCTGTGGGGCGCGAGTGTGGACGGGGCGTCTTGTGGTCAGCCTGCTTCAGCACCCACAGAAAGTGTCGAGTCAGGAAGACTGACGGGAAAGGAGACGGGGGTGGGGAGGGCGCCTGGCCCTGCTCGGCAGCCTGCGCTGTGTCCGTGACACGGTGTCCTCCTGCCGGGAGAGGAAGCAGACCTGAGGCCGTCTCTGTGAGCAGGCCACACACCACCCACCCCAGACGAGGCCCAGACCCCTGCCCAGGTAAGGGCAGACGGCAGCTTCCCTTGCCTCTGCCTGAGACACGGCGCCAGGGACAGCGGGGCCGGCGAGGGGAGGGGGTCCCCGCTCCCTGCTTGGTCCTGGCTGGGCTTCAGAAGGGGCCCCGCCGCCATCCACAGTGGGGCCCCTGGAGGCAAGAAGGGGGCTCCTGAGGGCTGCGGCTGGGCCCTGGGGAGTGTGGATGAGGGACCAATCCCGCTCTCCCCCGGCTCCTTCCCCAGGATGGACCCGGGGCCCCACTCCCGGCCCCTCCTTGGACAAGCCCTGCCGTTGTTCCTGCTGCTGCTGCCCCTGGGGAGCCAGGCCAGCCCCGGCTGCTACGGGATCCCAGGGATGCCCGGCCTGCCCGGGGCGCCGGGGAAGGATGGGCACGATGGACTGCCGGGGCCCAAGGGGGAGCCAGGTGGGTCTGCGGCCTGGGCGGGGGCAGGGCAGAGTGTCCGTGGGGCTGGCCTGGGGGCGGGGGACAGCACTTGACGGCAGGAAGCGGTCAAGGTCTGGATCTTGCTGTGGGTCCGGCCCTCTGGTCCTCAGAGCCTGGATTCAGGCCCCCCAGAGGTGACCCCAGCCCGGCACCGGATCCTGACCCCACACTCCTGATTCACCAGCCATCTGTCAAACGGGTCTGCACACACACCTAGCCCTATGGAAGTCAAGGAGAGAAGGAAACGTAAGGGCTGACAGGCGTGGTCGGTCAGGGAGGGCTTCCTGGAGGAGGAAGCTGGAGTCGGACCGTACAAGACGGGTATGGTTTGGACAAGGGGAGGAGAATCTCAAAGAGGCTCAGATCATCAGGGTCAGAACAGAATCAGACACTCTGACTGGGTCGCACCAGACCGGGTGACTGAGGCGAATCTCTGACCTCGGTTTCCCTGTTGGTAACATGAGGGAAGTTGGACCAGGCCGGCTGTTGCGGGCCTGAAGTGGGCTGAGTGGGGCTGGGGGCCCTGGAGGGTGCAGCCCCCTTGAGGGGGAGACTTCTGCTCAGACGCTTCCGGAGGCTGGTGCAACCTGGGGCTTCATCTTGGGGAAGGATGCAGGTTTTGTGGGACACCGGGGCTTATAAATGTTCAGGGTCCCCTTCAACAAAAATAGTCCCAAAGGACAGGCACACACCTGGCTGCAGAAGTGGTGGTGCTTATGAAAGTCCACACATGTTACAAAACTGCGTTAGCATGACACACCCGTGCAAGGAAACCACGAGGTCCACATGGGCCCTGGGTGTTAGCGTGAGTCAGTTTCCCGGCCTTGCCAGGATGCTTTGGTTCTGGGAGATGCCCTGCTGGGGAGGGCCGGGGGAAGGCTCCTAGGGCCTCTCTGCTCTTTTTTATTTTCCAACTCTCCGTGACTCTGTAAATATTTCAGAATAAAAATGGGAAAGAAATTAGACACACAAAATGAGGCCAAGACCTTGAAGGGCTGATTCGAGGGAACGGAGCCTGAACCGAAGCTCTATTTCCGAGGAAACCTGCCTCCGACCTGTCTTCTGACTTTTGTCAGGCAGGTCTGAGCATCTTGACTTCAGGCGAGCTCTGGGTTTGTTAACTTTGGGCTCTAATGTGCAAATCTGAAAACACCATACGGGCCGAACAGCGGGTGCCTGTGGCCACCGGTCGTCTGTCCCCGGGCTGTCAGCTTCGGCCGCTGGTGCGCTCTGAGACCCCACCCCACTCGGGCCTCTCTGCTCACTCGATTACAGATGTGGAGACTGAGGCTGAGAGGCAGGGCTGTGCCTTGGCTGAGGGTGGGGGCAGGCCTGTCGGGAGCAGACTAGACGAGACACTCGCTCCCCTCCAGCCAGAGCCTTGCTCCCTGCACAGTGCTCCCAGGTGGAGAGGCCGCCAATGGGAAGCTGGTTCTCAAGACCGAGCCCCAGTCCCTCTTCCCGGCCCCCTGCCCGTCACCTTCTCTCCACCTGCTCTGTCCCCAGGAGTCCCAGCCATCCCCGGGACACGAGGACCCAAGGGGCAGAAGGGAGATCCCGGCACGCCCGGCCATCCTGGGAAGAACGGCCCCATGGGCCCCGCAGGGACCCCGGGGGTGCCCGGCCCCATGGGCCTGCCGGGGGAACCCGGCGAAGAGGGCCGCTACAAGCAGAAGCACCAGTCGGTGTTCACGGTCATGCGGCAGACCGCCCAGTTCCCGGCGGCCAACGGCCTGGTCAGGTTCAACGCGGTGGTCACCAACCCGCAGGGGGATTATGACACCGGCACCGGCAAGTTCACCTGCAGGGTGCCCGGCTTATACTACTTTGTCTACCACACGTCGCAGACGGCCAACCTGTGCGTGCTGCTGTTCCACAACGGCGTCAGGGTGACCACCTTCTGCGACCACAAGTCCAACGACAAGCAGGTCAGCTCGGGCGGCGTGCTGCTGCGGCTGCAGGTGGGTGACGAGGTGTGGCTGGCCGTCAACGACTACAACGCCATGGTGGGCACCGAGGGCTCCGACAGCGTCTTCTCCGGCTTCCTGCTCTTCCCCGACTAGGGTGGGCGGGGGGCGCTCCGGCCCCGTCCTCCGTGTCCCACATCCCCACCCGATGGACTCCTCCGGGAAGCCTGCCCTGCCCTCCCACCCGAGAATTCTCTCCCTCCTCTGAGCTCCTTCGGGAGTCACTGCTTGTCCCGTTCCTTGGACACTTAGCCAACACTTCCTGGTGCAGTCGTTAGTTTTTTTCTGGTATCGGAAGAGGTGGGGAGATAGACGGATAAATGATTCAAGCCATACACAGGCACGGTTTGTTCATCAGTGCCCATTCCTTGAACTCTGCGCCTCGACTGTGCATCTGCCACGGCTGTCTGCGGGCTCTGGGCTCGGGGCATCCACTGGTGCTTAGTAAAGCTGGGCTGCCAGCGTCGAGACACTTGACACTCTCTGGCCTGGTAGGAGAGAGATGTTCGGGTGTGGTGACGGGCCGCTGGAGGTCCCCAAGGGGTCGGCCGCTGTCACTTGTCTGGATGACAGGCACTGCTGTCATGAAAGGTATCCGAGCGGCGGGTTAACGGGGGTGAGCTCGAATTCCCAGGCCTGTGCTGAGTTTCGGGGGCAGCCTCCACAGTGGGGGAGGGGGTCGTTCGGGCTCAGGGGAGCCCCGTGCAGGCAAAGGCCAGGCATGCAGTGAACTTGTGCTGAACGGATGGGTGACTTGGGGTGACTGGTGAGTGCATACGCGGGTCAGTGAGTGACTGAAAGCAGAGTAAACACGAGTGTCTAAAAAGTTGTGATAGCTGACACGTAATGAGCACTTGCTTTGCACCAGGCATGTGCTAAGCGCCTCACACATATTAACCCACTTAATACTCAACCGCTCTCTGACACAGGCACAAGGGGGTGGGAGAGAGAACTGGCACCTGAAAAACCCGGAGACTCTGGGACCTCAGGGGAGCACCTACACCCACAGCTGCCCACTCACTCCCTGGCTGACCGTGAGGTTGCTGGTGGCTGGACCCCGCCAGCATGATCCTCACCGGTCGGCGGTGTGTGGCTGCCTGTGAGGAACTCGGCACCATTTGCCCTGCTGGGAGAGATGCCCACCTGCGATGACGGTCCGCGGAGGTCCGCAAGCATGGAGGCCCCTGTTGGGCGTTCCAAGTGCAAAAAGATGAAAAGTGTAACTTTCCTGCACAGACCTCAGGCCCGGATCCCAGTACCCAGCGAGACTCGGGGCTCACCCAAGCTGGAGGACCTTGGTCCCTCCCAGCCGTGAGCACGGCTTGGTTCCACAAAGCCCCCACGGAGTCGTGGAGGCACCGGCCAACTGAGATGGGCTGCAAGACCTGAGTTCTGCAGCCACCTCGTCCATGTGGGCTCCTGTTTGGGAAAGGGGCTGTGTCACACCTCCCTGCCCTTGTCCACGCTGTTCCTTCATCCTGTGGAGCCCCCGACCCGCTCACACAATTGTCCACCCAACTGGATAACACTCGCTCAACGGTCAGGAGTCACACAAACATCGCCTACCTCCATGAAGCCTTCCCTGATTCTCCCCACAGTGCCCTCCACAGATTTGACACAAATTCACGACTTTAGAGCCCAGGTTCCCAAATCTGGTGGTGAAAAACATTTACCACAGATGTGTTTAAGATCAAACACACACACACACACACACACACACACACACACACACACACACACTAACAAAACCAGATTTCTGGACCCAAGGCTGTCTTACAAAGGTTTGGGGAAGACGGGGCGAGGGGACAGTTTGCAAGGATAGCTACTGCATACGGTCCACCACCCACCCATGTGCAGTTAGTTATTTACCTGTGTGTCAGCCTCCCTGTGGAACGGTGTGTGGCCTGGACAGGGTCCTTCACACACGCCTGGCACTTGCGGGGGACATAAGAGGCGCATTGAATAGGAAGGAGGGAGAGAAGACACACACACACACACACACACACACACACACACACACACACGCACTCACACGCACTCACACAGGGAGGGCAGGAGGCACAGACTAAGGAACCTGCCAGACCCCCAAGCCCGGAGCCGCCCGGGCCCCCTCGGCCACCGCATAGCAGGCCGCCTGGCAGCACCGTGAATGCTACATCCTTCTCCTCACGCCTCTTTGGTTTAGGAAATCAATACTCCGTCTATGGAGGCCGTGGTGTCAGATCAGAAGCCTGTACTTGGATACGACAGTCCTGTACCGCGTTACTTTCCATAATCGCTTCCACGCTGCTCTCTCGCGGGGGAGCCAGGCCTTTGGAAACCGGCTTGTCTGCCGTGCCAGGGGAGGGGGTGCCAGGTTTTGACCGAGGAGGTTGGGAGGGGTGAGGTGTGGGGTAGGGCCAACAAGACACCCCAAGCTGCAGGGAATCCCATCCAGACCTTGGGAAGGCCAGGGGTTTGGGTTTCTTTATCCACTTTTTGCAGGGATCGAACCCTCTCTATCAGGGATGCAAGTCCAAAATGCCGTGGGCACAGAGACCAGTTGGCACCCGCTCCAGGGATACGGTCCAAGGACCCCTCGGCTTCTGACCCAAGCCTAAGCCTCCCCCAGCCCAGGCGAGCCTCCTTTGCTCCCAGGCTCCAAGAACCCACTGTCCCTTCATGTATGTAACATGGTTCCTTTGTTTGGGAGTGCCTAGCAAGGCTGGGCGCTCAGCAGGTCACCTTCCTGCTCCGACAGCAGCCCTGGAGGTAGGTGTCCACACCTCCCACTGACATACAGGGAAACTGAGGATGGTGCATGCACCTGAGGCCACAGCGTTGGAAAGAGGCAGAGCCGGGTTCCAACTTGGGGGTGGCCGACTCCAAAGTCCATGCTCTTAGCCCCTGCTGCTTTCCTGCTGTCAGTCTCACTGCCTCCGTCGCAGGTTCAAGGCCATCTTTCCCCACTGCCATCAGCCACCAAGGAGTGTGAGGTCCAAGTGACCTCGGAAACACTCGGCAGATCCTGCACCTGCAGCCCACTCTTGCCCTCCCCCCAGAATCCCCTGCTTTCTCCCCCTTTCCCGACCAGAGTCCCTAGGTCCATAGTCAGCCAAGCCCGGAGACCTCTTGGTTTCATCACTCTTGTCCCCATCACCCACTGCAGTTCACACTAAATCTTCGCCGATAGGACCTGCAGGCCCAGCACTCTTCTAGGTTCAAGCACGGATGTCAAGAGGGGTCCACTGGGCCTGGTGCCTGCCGGGGCCCCCCCGAGAGGACATCATGCTGCCCCAGACGCAGCTGTGGGGAGAGGCTGGCATCCCAGGGGTGACTTCCAGTCCTGCATCCACCCCTACTTGGACCATGGCTTCACAGTCACTTCTTTCTTGTGACATTTATCACAGGAGCAATGATGCCTTGTGCCACACATTTCCACGTGGTTCACACCCACTCCCGCAGCTGAGGGGCAGCCCCGCGGGCACAGGGCTCTCTCTCCAGGGCCCAGCACAGAGAGGCCAACACTAAAGATCTGTTAAATGGTGATGCCCCACTCTGGGCCTCAATTTCCCCATATATACAAAGGGGGTGAGGACCAAGTGACCACAGCCCCCTCCAGCCCTAACTTGGTGTGATTTTACCATTGACAAGAAGCAACAGGGCCCTGCCTGGGCCTATTACCGTCGTCAGCATCAAGCCTGGCCAGAGGGGCATGAATAAATAATGAGCAATCTGGAAAGTCACCATGAGATTATTTTCTGAGAACAGGGAAAGAGCAGGGGAACAGAATGGGGAGGGAACGGAAGACACGGGCCTGGAATGGGGAAGTCTGGACATGAAGTGGTATTAGCAGTCAGCATGTGCACGGCACTCCACAGCATATGCCCCACAGCCCTTCTCCCCCGTCAGTCCCCACAGTCTGTAGAGCAGGTGTCGCCATGGTCCCAGCATAGAGCTGAGGAGACTGGGCTCCCCTGGAGTCCCTTGGCTGAGAACATCTGGCAGAGCCGAAATATGCATCAAGGTCTCTGAGTCTCGCCCAGCGCTCGGCACCAGGCCAGCCATACTGTCACCTCTTCCCTGTGGAGGATCACGAGGTCTGGGGGCCTGGGCGGGCCAGCCGTCGGCTGTGGACACCCTGGGACCGCCTGTTCGCCCCACAGCTGCTGAGTCGGCAAAACCAATCTCGCCACCCGCCCATCCCATTTACAGTAAACCCATCTGGGCGGCAGAAATGGGACCTGAAACTGCCTGTGGACAGCAAGGGGGGCGGCGGGGGACGGGGAGATGGTCAGCTGCTTGACCAGGGGAGGGGATCGTCAGCGGGAAGCCCTCCCGCCTCTGCGGAAGGGAACTTCTGCTTTGGACCCAGGGCAGCAGGCCCCAGGCTCCTGGCCTCACTGCTGCTGGCCCAGCGGCGCCACCGGACACCAGCTTCCCAGGTGAGGTCAGGGCCTGGTTGGCAGGGCCAGCATGGCAGAGGATGGTGATTCCCTAAGTGTGCTAGGGTGCTTAACAATGCAGGCAGTTGGGCCCAGTTCCAGACCCATGGGATCAGGATCTGAGGGTGAACTGGGGGGGAGGGTCTGCCGCTACCTAGGGCCCAGGGTATGGGCAGACAGTCAAGCCAAAAATGGGATCCCGGGGCAAAGGGCTTGGGGGTCGCAGAGACTGGGCTAAGCCTGGCTTCTGCCTCTGATTTGCTACTCATCCTGGGCGAGCCTCCTGGGGGCTACAGGCCCCACAGAAGACTAAGATCCCGAGAGCTAAGTGCTCTCCCTGGCTCAGAAGATGTCCGCACACAGAGGCCAGGTGGGATCAGAGTCCAGCCCAGCACCGCCCAACACCTTGCTTCTCTGATGTCCTCACGGTCGGAAGAGAAGCAGTGTGACCCTTCCAAGGAATTAATTTGCTGTGCTGGTGTGGCTGTGGTGAGCAGTGAGGACTGAGTGAACACGGCGATGTTTGTGTGGCCGGGGAGGGGGTCGAGGCACCATGCCAGAGACCTTTTTCAGTCTGGGGCCATCCCAGTTCATCCTCCCGCCAGTCCTGTCAGGCTGAAACCAGCATGGCCAAGAGGCTTAGAGAGGCTCAGGCACTTGCCTGGTCACACAGCCGGGTAGCAGCAGAGGGGGAGGTCAAAGTCCAGTTGGCCTGACTCCAGATGGGGGAGAAGGGGCTATCGGGGCTGAAGGAGAGGGAAAGGTCAGAGGTTGGGGGTGGAAGAGGAGAGACGGGGCTAATGATGATGATGGGCTGGCGAAGGTGGGCCACAGTCAGGCCAGATGAGTTTCAAGTCCTGCCCCGAGTCTGAGACTGAACAGCCTCTGACACAGGCTAGAGCTCACATCTTCCCACTCCCCGCCACCTCCCGCTTCCCCAAGAGGCCTGAGTTCCATCAGGACCCAGCTCCCCACCCCCAAGCAGCGTGTCACAGCCTTCCACCCTGGGAGAGCCCTACCCCCAGGCCCTATCTCCTCAAGGACCTCCTAACTCAGCCCCTTTTCCCTCCTGTCCAGAATCTCAGGAATTCCTGGATGACGGTGACATCAACACAGTAGAGGGCACTGACCAAGCACTTCTGACCTGCCAGGCTCTGCGGTGAGTTGTAACACATCTGTCCTCACACCACCCACGGAGGGAGAGAGTGGCATCGCCCCCATTTCACAGAAGGGGAAGCTGGGGCCAGGGAGGCGGAGTGACTCTCCCAAGCAAGCCCCTTAACCGAGAGGTGGCAGAGGCCTGGCTGGAACCTGGCCGAGCAGCTGTCCTTGTGGCACTGGGGTCCCGCCACCAGGTGAATGTTTGCTGCCTACACAGCAACAACGGTCACAATGACAAAAACCACCTTCACCGGGCACTGGCCACGTGCCCCCCGGTACTTCCAGTGCGCCCTGTGTCTTAGTTCTTTTATCAGGCTGTGTGGCTCCAAAGCCTATGTTTTAACACCCAGGCACAGTGGCTCTTAACACTGAGTTTTAAGCTCCAGGGGAAGTGGGTTTGACCCTTACAGAGGCGTTTGCCCTCTCTGATCCCAGTTTCCTCACCTGGACACAAGAAGGCACCCGTGAATTCTTGGGGAACTGTTGTGAGAATCAAATTAAAGGAGCTCGTAGCATGTGGAATGTTTGGCCCCGATCATGGCCCCTGCTAAGTGTCCAACTTGTTTAAGTCGCCAAGTTGCTATTTTGTAACACCTAGCAAGAGTGAGGAATGAGGCTTGTTCAGATCAGTGGGACCATTCCCCTGAGGCCCTCTCTTCAGGTGACAGAGTTGACCCCGTCACCAGCAGATCCTGGTCACAGTCATCTCAGGGTTTCCCTCTTCTGGGCACCTGGCACACGGCGGCATCACTCGGGGCTTGAGTGATGACTCGATCAGGACTAGGCGGGGGTGAGGTTGAGTCTTCAGGGCACACAGGTCAAATGCCAGCAGGTTTTATGGTCCGGGGAGCCCTCTGCCTGCGCCCAATTCCATGTTGGTGCAGCCAGCATGAGGCAGGAAGGGCAGGGGTTTGGCCACAGCCCTGCCACTAACTAACTCACTTGGTGACTTCAGGTAGGTTGCTTTCTAGCTTTTGAGCCTCAGTTTCCTCCTGTGACGGTGGGAAATTCATCACAACCCATGTTTCCGGGTGTCGTGGGGATCCACCAACAGCAGCAAGAGTAGCAGAGCAACAATCCGGGCAGGAGCTCAGAGCATCCTGAGTCCTTCGCATCCAGACCTCACCTGGGCCCCCCACGGCTTCCTGGGGAGGTGGGCAGAGACCTCGCGGCTCTCCCGTTTTAGGAGCAGAAAACAGCTCAGCCTCTGTGGCCTGATGGGTCATGAAGGATGTGGTCTCGCTATGTGGCCCAGGCTGGTCTCAAACTCCTGGGCTCAGGCAATCCTCCCACCTCCTGGGTTCTTACGGAGACTTCATGAGGTAGCCATGAAGCCATCGGCCACTGGTGGTTAACTTTGCCATCAGCTCATCTCCTCGTCCCAGAGGCTGAAGATTGGAGCCGAAAGTCCCAATCCTCTAATCCTGTCCTGGTCACCCTCCCCTTCCCAGGGGCTGCCCGCCTTCAGTCAGTCATTAGCCTACCAAAAGACAGCACTTTGGTATTTCTCAGGCTCTTAGGAGTTGCATGCCAGGACCAAATACATATTTTATAATATCACATATGTTATTCAGCCATAAAAAGGAAGTGCTGATACAGGCGATGGCAGGACCACATCTGTCTTGTCCATCACTGACTCCCCAGCACCCAGTACTGGGTTTAGTGGAGAGGAGACCATCGGTGAACACGTGGGGGGAAGCAGTGGAGGGAGGGAGGGAGGGACGGATGGAGGGAGGGGTGGAAGGAGAGATCGAGGG